TCAATAATCAGCCTGTCTATCTCAACCGTGGTGACATGTTGCCACCATCACAACTCATTAATGTCTCCCATCATGCATTGCGGTATGAATAAATTATGATCTGAATTGTCTATGTAATTTACTTTTCCTACTTGAATATTCTACTCGCCACCGTTGTTGAGAGCGTTGACTGAATCTTGAGGTCTGTGTGTGCCTTAAAGAAAATTTTTTTTTTGTTTAAACAACTTTTGAGAAATCCATTACATTATATTTAATGTTCTGGATGTTTATGCAGAATCTCAGTTATACATTAACACAACAGAATAATCACAGACATAAGTTTTAAATGATGAAAGTCATTATATAACCAACATCATTTTATAATTGTTTATCTTTGTTCATCTGACAGACATAACTCAGATGCAACAGCAAATTAAAACATAAGATGTATAATATAAGGGTCAAGAGCCCAACTAAAGCAAACACTCATCTCCATAACGGTGGCTTAAAATTTTAGATTTTTTTCCTTGTGATTCTGCTTTAGGTGTCTTCAATAATGCTCAATCATCACTCATTTAACCACTTAATTATCTCATTAACTTTAACACTCTTGAGTGTGGACTCATATACACTCCAGGTGTGTTAGTTTAACACGGGAGATTTTGTCGTGACGAAGAGCCGTAGTTCACTGACCAGCTGAGCCATATCGCATTAAATATCGATATCGATATGTCCTCGATATTAACGCGATATGGCTCAGCTTGTCAGTGATCTACGGCTCTTTGTAGTGAATGCCGCTCCATCTGAAAGCAGGTGAAGGTGATTTACTGCTAATCAAGGAACCGGCTTTACTGATTAGATGCGCATTCAATATCGTTCAATATATCGCCCAGCCCTAGCGACAGAGAGTCACGTGGGTATGACGCAATCGTTAGCCTACTTTTACAAAAAACTGCTTCTATGGGGCCATAACATAAGCTACAAGGTAATGGAGCATTTTATACATTGTCGTGTTTCTTTAGAAATAAATAATAGACAAATGGAGTCTTCAAATGCCTCAGATGTAAAGTTATTCGCTGTCAAAGTGACGCCAAAATGAATGGGAGTCAATGGAAATGCTAATGCAAGTGAAGTTCTGCTACAAGATGGCAGCTCCCGTGAGGCATCAACTTCCAGTCGATGGATTACCCCCTTGATTTATTCATGTTTGGTTGCATGATATTTTCTGGTAAATTTATGCCCCCTAGTGGCGTTCTGTGTTATTGTGTTACTGGAGAGAAGCTCCAGACTGAGTTCAGTAAAAAGGAAATCAGACTAGCGGACATTGTTTTCTGTGAATTATAGTTGTATTTAGTTAAGTTTCATCACATTGTGTAGAAATTATAACTGTATAATGTAAAAAACATATAAATACCTTTTGATAGATGTCTTTTTCTCACTGAAGTTCGGTAGGCCACCATCCTTTGAGCAGTCACTCTTCACAGACACAGAGCTGGACACATGTGAGCCTGATCTTTTACTAATAACAAATAAAGACAAGATAAAGTTTAATTACAGAAGTTTATCAGTGTCTGATAACGGCACAAACTCTCTCTACTCTCTATAAAGCATTTGCACAATCATTACTGTAAACATACATTTTAATTTTAAAAATCAATGTACATTTAGCATTTACAGCAATGTAACACTTCTGCTGAAGGAGAGGTAGAAAATAGAAAATATTGATTTAGATTTAAGATGGTTATCTACCGGCCACAAAATAATTTTATTTTATGCTTTTTTTTTATAAATAAGAAGTTCTGCAAAGCGTTTGCAAATATAAAACAATGCTTAGTTCTTCAGAGGAAGAATCTAAAACTTCAGTAGTTTAAAATGATTGTGAAAACAGACGCAGTCTTACCTCTGTTCCTCTGAGAGACTCGTCTTAGAGAGATAGTCATTTCCTCGCTCCTCTGACATACTGCAGCTAAACTAACATTGGAAACAGATCAGCACTGGTTTCAGTTTGACCTGGAGATGGCAATATATGTTCCTGAGATTAATAACATGGCATAAAATAACAGAATCAAGAAAATAATGAAGAATGTTTAGTTAGCAGCAACAACAAACACTATAACATAAAGTGAATCATGGCTCTAAATGTAGAAGTGAATAGACATTAACACTGTGTTAAATCATTGAGGGAAAATGAACCCAGTTTGTTACAGTCTGTATTGCAGTTTAGTATCATTTAACAATCATTTTTAATGTTTTATTAATTGTTGATTCTTTTGTCACTTGATCATTATTTCAAGTTCACATTATATTTAATAATTTTCAAATGCTCTCCTCAATACATGTATGATTCATTCAGTGTTTTTTATTTGATATTGAAAGTAGAAAAATCAGAAAATGGCTCCTTTTTCACTTAAAAAAGAACAAGAATTCAGCTTGCTTTTTCATTCAAGGGTAGAAAATATAATACACATTAGGACCACATAAAGATGCCAACTGACCACTGTATCAGCTGCCTTAACCTTACAGCAAAATACAATTTAAATATTAAACATTTTGAAAATGGCGACCTGAAGGCGGCTCGAGATCATCAGTGAACAGTTCCTCTGTCAGAGTCAGCGTTTGTGCCTGTGCTTGGAGTGATGTGTGTGGCCAAGTGACGCCATAATGAATGGGAGTCAATGGGAATGCTAACAGCAGGTGATAGACTTACTAGCCAATGGCGGCTCCTGGGGAGACTTCAGTTTCGGCTAGTGGATTACCCCCTTGGAAGTGAACGCAAACACGACACGGGTTTGATGCGGGATTGGGGACCTAGTAACATTGCCATGTTCAAATCTCTGTGTGAAAGGGGCTCATGACATCTCAAACATACAGTAGTAGCCTAGCACAGCGGTTTTCAATAGGTGAGGCGCGACTCCCCCGGCGGGCGCCAAAGAGCCACAGACGCGCAAAGAAAAATAACTCTGTATGCAGCTCTATTAACATCGCAGGGCTTAAAGTATTACGGCAACGCATGCGATACATTTTTGTTAATGATCACGCTTTTATTCACGCAAATGCTTTTAAGCCATTCATTCACGACAAGACAAAAGAGAGCGTGCTGTCAGTGAATGTCATCCTGACACACACACACACACACACACACACACACACACACACACACACACACACAGAAAGACCCTATATGGGGAGGCTGCAGACTTGGAGCCGGCAGTTTTACCAGTCCTTCCAGAAAAAAGCTGAGTTTTTTTGTGATTATTGCGGGCAAAAATCCTTGATTACGCGGCCCGTTTTCTTTAAAAATGCGATGGAATATGCGGGAAATTTATGCAATTTTATGCGATGAAATTGCGGGAACTTGCAAAAATTGCAGAAACTTGCAAAAATTGCGGGAATTTGCAAAAACTGCGGTTTGATGAAAAAGAGAAAAAAGTGATTCCCCCAACACCCTGTTCTCACTAGGCTACTACCTTAATGTAAAGAGTCATTTCTTATTACTTCCTTTGATAAGCAAGCATCCCACATCATAGAAAGTGCTGGGAATATTTAATTACTCATCTTGTTTTATATCAGACTATAACGAGTGTAAATAAGGTGTGGCCCCTTTAAGAGCTGCGAGCTCCCTGTTGAATTGTCTGCAGTGTTATATGTGCGCCTCAAACACCCCATGTGTGCGGCTAATTTCTATTTGATGCTAATTCTTTTATCTTATGTTGTTTATTAAGTAACGATGTGATGGTAGAACGTGTCACAGACAGTTATACGAGTTCGATTTGTGAGATGTCAATCGCCTCCGTGAGTCTGTCTGGCCTCTGCAATAACTTCAGCTGTGAGCTATCCCGTCGCGTAATTGCGTCACTTCATAACGTTCCGGAAACAGGGGGAAATGGCTGCTCTTGCGTGAAGCAAACACACCATTTTTCAACTTTCTGCTAAGATATATGTGACTTTTTTGCAACGAAAATGCGAGGATTATGAAATCATGCAAACCCCGCATATTTTGCACGGAAATCGGCAATTTATGCGGCGAAACTGCGGCGTATTTGAAAAAATGCGGCCCCTGCATAAATATGCGGACTTTGGCTGATTTTGCATTGAATTCAGCGATCGCATAATCGCGTTTTTCTGGAGGGACTGTTTTACGCCCCTGACAGTTTTAAGCCCCTGTTGTTCCTGATGCGCCCAGTAGGGGGAGAAGGATATACGGCGAAATAACGTAAAAAGATGCTGGAAACAAACACATTAATAACCGTCCAGACTTTTACTAATTTGTAGGTATTTGTTTATTTAAATAAACGTTAGACAGTGGAGTTATCTGCACTATACGGATTAAAACATCCAGATGTTCAGTTGGGCTTCACTCAACCTACAGAAGATTTGTTTTTGTAAATTAAAAACTTTAGTTGGATCAGATGGACAAAGTAATGATATTTGACCTACTGTAGAATTAATTGTTTTTAAACTGTTTTATATACAGGAAACTGACTGATATATGTTGTTGTGGACTATATAAAGTTACATTTAGGCCTATGTATTAACCATATTTAGCCTTTAGATATGCAGTACTGTATGGATCCTTAATGAAATATCTGCTGTAATATTTACAATTGGTCATCATACAGCAACAGAACAGTGTCCTACATAACATTTAATGAAGACAAACACAATTGAACCCTTTTCTAAAATTCCAAGGGCCATTTAAAAGAAAGAGACAATATTTTTGTTCACATAAAAGGTTATTTATTTACAAAAGAAGGTAAAGTTGAATAGTGGTAAAAACAATGGTTATAAAATAATGGCACACTGTCATGGTTGAACATTTATGGGGGGTTCAAAAGGGGTGTTTATAAAAGATTAGAGACAGAGATTTTAATTTTCTTTAGTAGCTAAAGCAGACACACCTTAATGAGATACAAGTTACAAAGAACTAAAGACAGAGTATGATAAAACACACATTAAGTGCACATACATTTTAGTCCAGATCAGTAAGCTATTTTAAGAAAACTGTATGATATACATATAAAAAATTAGATCGTCTCATTTATAAAAAAACAACTTAAACCAAAATGTACATTTAAACCATATGGGACCAAAGTTTTTAATGTGGGCTTTATAATGCATTATGTTTGTATGTATTATAAGACAAACTAGAAAAAAAAAGTTTGATGACACAAACTTTAAGTTGGCTTGAGAAAGCCAGACCAGAGCGTTTGAAGAATCTTGAAGTTTGAATGAAGTTTTAAAGATGGAATTAGAAAGAAAGAAAGAAAGAAAGAAAGAAAGAAAGAAAGTAAGAAAGAAAGAAAGATGGATAGATTAGTTAGAAAGATAGATTAGTAAGAAAGAAAGATAGATAGATAGATAGATAGATAGATAGATAGATAGATAGATAGATAGATAGATAGATGTTTTTGGCAAGAAGCTAACATGATTAGCATGTAGCTAGCTTGATGCTAATATGATTAGCATGTAGTTAAGATGATTAACATGTTGTTAGCGTGATTAGCATGTTGTTAGAATCATAATAGCATGATTAGCACGTTGCTAGCATGTTTTTAACAAGAAGCTAGCATGACTAGCATGTAGCTAGCTTAATGCTAGCATGATTAGCATGTTACTAGCATCATTCTAAATTGTTTTAGCAAGAAGCTAACATGATTAGCATGTAGCTAACATCATAATAGCATGATTAGCATGTTGCTAGCATCATGCTAACATGTTTTTAACAAGAAGCTAGCATGACTAGCATGTAGCTAGCATCATACTAACATGATTAGCATGTTGTTAGCATCATGCTAGCATGTTTTAGCAAGAAGCTAGCATGATTAGCATGTAGCTAGCATCATAATAGCATGTTGCTAGCATCATGCTAGCATGTTTTTAGCAAGAAGCTAGCATGATTAGCATGTAGCTAGCATCATAATAGCATGATTAGCATGTTGCTAGTATCATGCTAGCATGTTTTTAACAAGAAGCTAGCATGACTAGCATGTAGCTAGCATCATGCTAACATGATTAACATGTTGCTAGCATCATGCTAGCATGTTTTAGCAAGAAGCTAGTATGATTAGCATGTAGCTAGCATCATAATAGCATGATTAGCATGTTGTTAGCATCATGCTAACATGTTTTTAGCAAGAAGCTAGCATGACTAGCATGTAGCTAGCATCATGCTAGCATGATTAGCATGTTGCTGGCATCATGCTAGCATGTTTTTAGCAAGAAGCTAGCATGATTAGCATGTAGCTAGCATCATGCTAGCATGATTAGCATGTTGCTAGCATCATGCTAGCATGTTTTTAGCAAGAAGCTAACATGATTAGCATGTAGCTAGCATCATGCTAGCATGATTAGCATGTTGTTAGCAAGAAGCTAACATGATTAGCATGTAGCTATCATCATGTTAGCATGATTAGCATGTTGCTAGCATCATGCTAGCATGTTTTTAGCAAGACGCTAGCATGATTAGCATGTAGCTAGCATCATGCTAGCATGATTAGCATGTTGCTAGCATCATGCTAGCATGTTTTTAGCAAGAAGCTAGCATGATTAGCATGTAGCTAGCATCATGCTAGCATGATTAGCATGTAGCTAGCATCAAAATAACATGATTAGCATGTAGCTAGCATCATGCTAGCATGTTTTTAGCAAGAAGCTAGCATGATTAGCATGTAGCTAGCATCATGCTAGCATGATTAGCATGTTGCTAGCATCATGCTAGCATGTTTTTAGCAAGAAGCTAGCATGATTAGCATGTAGCTAGCATCATGAAAGATGTTAGAAAGATGGATAGATTTGTTAGAAAGAAAGATGGATAGATTAGTTAAGTAGAAAGAAAGATGGATAGATTAGTTAGGTAGAAAGAATGATGGATAGATTAGTTAGAAAGAAAGATGGATAGATTTGTTAGAAAGAAAGATGGATAGATTAGTTAAGTAGAAAGAATGATGGATAGATTAGTTAGGTAGAAAGAAAGATGGATAGACTAGTTAGAAAGAAAGATGGATAGATTT